GTAGATATTACATTTCTTTAGTACTGGTACTAATTACACTATTACACACATCGGAAAACGCTAACCATGGAATGAGAACTGTGGACTCATGTCCAAACCCCTGCCGAAACTGTTATACCCTATGTCAGAGTTGCACGCATCATGCTATATATAGCTTGATGCATGACAGAGAGAGAGCATTTATTTCCAGTGAACTAGCACCTGATTTATCTTCTCTGACTGCTCTGCATAAATGACATGAGACTACAAAAATGTCAGCTAGTTAAACATGACCTCTCTAGCTTTACGTCAGTGGTTTATGTAAAGGATCTTACAACAAATATACAGTATTAACAACATAACCTGTAGGAACAGATGCTAGTCTTATGTTACACTGTGTATTAACCAGTTACGTAATCAAGCGTAACGCGCCGTGTGGTTTTTATAGGCAGAAGAAACTTTTATAGGCATTTATCTCACGTTATCTGTAAGCTGTTTTTTAATTTTTTTTACAGGGGAGAGTAATGGTGATGAGTCTGATCGCGGCAGAAATAAGTTTTACAGTGTTGTTCTCGTGTTTCTCCCTCTCAAAATCCATATGTCGTTTAGCGAATCGCAACCGTACTGAGCTCCCTCTCCCCCCTAGCCCGCATACTCTCCTTACACGCAGTTCTCCGGCCCTCTCAGGTGTCTTATTAATAATTTAATAATAATAAGGCGGAAGTGCAGAACAATCATAGGTGGATATGAATTTAAGAGCGCATTATCGTTCTCCTTGTAACTGAAAAAAATCAGAGCGATCCTAATGCGATTCTTGGCGATGCTAGGGTATGTGCTGGAGTGGAGTGAGGCTTGATATATTAAAATTAAAAAGTAACAATTAAAATGTATTTGAGATAAATGTCTGTAGAAAATCAGTCACATAAGTGGATAACTTGCCATGAATGATATGTTTTTCTGCACTGGTATTCTTGCACTACTGGTATTGTGATACTTAAAGTGGTATTGGTATTGAGGAAATAATTTTGGTATCATGACAACTCTATTGTATAACGGTTATTGTGGTCATTCATTCATTTATTTGTTTGTTTTGCATAGTAAAGTGTGCTGAACAATGTATAAAGATCTGATTTTTACAGCAGAATGTTCCATCTCTGGGCTTGGAGTACCTGAAGAAATGAGTTTTTTTTGTGTTCTTGGAAACAATTTGCTGTACTGTGAATCAAGGGCAGATCTTCACTGTAGGGATGGAAGACTGTCCTTACAGTACTGACCTGTATTATTAGCCAAAGAATATAAAAATTCTTCATATTTAATAATCGGATTGTCTTGTCTTTAGCTGTTTATGCATGTTTTACTTTTTGCAATAAATATTTTGATCTCATCAACATATTACACTAAACAATTCTCCATATAGCTGTGTTGTTTGAAATGTAAGGGATCCACTTGAAAAATCTGTTAGCATAGTAAACAAAGCCTAGTAAACTCATTGAATAAAATAAATATATAACATAAATTATTTACAGATTATATATTTATTACCTCTGCTAATACTTAGTTATCACTTCACAACAAGATTACAATATGCCTATACATATATATTAAGTGCTTTCTGCTTTCAGTTTTGTTTTTTTTTTTTTAATTTTATATGTGAACAGTTGCTATCTGAATTTTTGTCTAGGTTACATTTCATGTAAGTTGGATGACTATTGGGAAATTAGATGGTTAACTTAAGTTGACAAAACAAAAAGGAATTGTGATTGCTTATTCAGTGCCATATGTCACATTGCAGTTTGGGACAGATTGCTTCTTTGTTTAGGACTGTTATAGAGGTCAAACTATCCTTCTGTGATTTTAATAGCAACATTGCCAGTAATTTTAGCACTTAGTATCACTGGCTAACAAAAATGTGTCTAGAGTCATGCATGTGAAAAAGGAGCACTAGTTGTCTTAAATATATCATATGTTATGTGTCAATGCAATCTCTAATATGTGTATATATATGTTTTTTTCAGACCGAGTATGAGTACCGATGCTCACTTTCTGGCACTCACTGATGCTGATACCAATTAGGCCTGGATGTTGTACAAAATAATAATGTGCAATATCTGAATTAAAAAAATATCCAGGTATATGATAATATTGAAATACCCCCCCCCCCATTCTTTTTTAGCTAAAGAAAGAAAAAGTGAAAATATGAGAAACAACAGCGGTGGTTCATAAACTTTTACATCACTTACCACGTCAGAAAGTATTAAGCTCTTGGTGTTCCACCATTATGCTTGAATGTCAAGAACAAATACTGAGTAAGAGCTTCTGCTATTTTCACTGCATGAAGGTTACCTTTTGACATTCTTCTCCCTCCGTACTAGTGTACACTGCATGGTGGGTTGTTGCAAAGTGCTGCTGGTGGCAATTTTGTCACCCATCTATCTTCTGTGCTTGTTTGTCCTATGCAGGGTCATAGGGTTCAGAGCCTAGAGGCAATGAGTATAGGGCAGGGAATAATTCAGGATGGGATGCCAAACCATCACACACTGATGGGCAATTTAGTAATTCCAACTCACCTTGGCATGTTTTTGGACTGGAGGGTGGGGTGGGAACCAGAGTACCTGGAGGAAACCCCACAACAACAACATGCAAACTTCACACAGGTGGAGCCACGGTGCAAACCACTACACTACTGCACTGCCCCCACATTTGTCATACTCTTTCTTATGTTTAGTTTTTAGGTGCTTAATTAGATTACTTGTATTGTATGAACTTGTTTCACACCTCCCCTTGATATTTTAGCAGAGCGCAGTTTTCAGCCCACTATGCTTTGGCTTTTGTCATTAATTTTGAAATACTTCTGCATCATAGACATTATGTAGTCCCGTTTATTTTGCTTATTAGTGATATCTCTGATACATCATCATAGGGGTGAGCGATATAACCAAAATCTTCTATCACGGTAGAAGCAATTTTCTACCTCGATAACGATATATATCACAATATAGCAATTTGTATCTGGAAATGCATAAATAAAAATTCAAACACAAAGAAACTTTTATATAATGTAATTTTATTTAAAATTGCAGCATTACTTTAAGTAAAAAAAACAACCATACTGTTTACTGCAATGTATTGTACTGCATTTTTTGACATATTCGTTTGGATCGATGCTTGGATTTGAGATGATAGAAAAGGTTTGACGTGTTTCCACCGCTTGCTAAAACAGTGCTCTTGCATACCTTGCAAATCACGTTCGTCTCATTCGTATTCACTTTTCCTATACTCAAACCAATTCCACACCAGAGCATGTGAGCGGAGCGGAGCGGTGAGAATTTCCGCTCCTCGCTCACGAGGCTGTTGGCTCCGCCCGCTCCTCCGCTCTAATTCGCACTACGCCGCTCCGCTCAACACCGCTCCTCGCTCCACTAAAATGTCCTCCCGCTCCAGTCAAATCGCTCCACGCTCGCTCCAATTTAAAAGAGGGACAAATAATCTGCATGCCTAACAAATGTCACCTTAAACCGAAGCCTTATGTCATAAAGAAATATGAGCAACGGCAACATTGCCAGTCAGAACAGAAAATATTTATTTTGAAGCAACCTATCGGCAACAACGGACAGGTTTGGAAATGGCATTCCACACAAAAATAGGCTTAAAAATAAAGGAATCAGTGGGTTTAATAGCCTAAAGAATATACAGACACGTTTTAAATTCTGTTGATGCAGCACGTCTCTAAAATAAAATTTTACGTTACGTGAAATAAAAAAAAAATAATCTTATTAGACCTACTTTGAATGACAAAACGAATTTATTTGATTACCAATATTTACTTTATAGGCTTTTATACTTTATAGACTTGATATGCTACAAGTTACAACCATATAAAACTTGCACGCGTTTTGCTCTGGCTTCCGCTTGTTCGCGTAGCACACTCATGTTTCTGAGAAAAGTGATTCCAAAGTGAATCTTTACTCACTGAAACAGTTTCACCACATTGTTGTTCTTGCTGTACATTCTTGTCATCTATATGTTTCATAAGAATAGTACACTTGTATGATTTATCAGTTTCCTTTGTGAAATACTTTGCGAATTCCATCTCGGCCAATTTGTGTAACAGTCTTGATAATTGTACAGATGAATTCTGCGTAGATTTGGGCACGCCTCAGAATTGTAGTGTGAGCGGTATCGGAGCGAAATTGGAGCGAGACAAAGCGACCGCTCCAGTCTTAATTAGAAAACCCGCTCCGCGCTCTGACCAAATTCCGCCCGCTCCGCTCCTCGCTCACGCTCCGCTCCGCTCACATGCTCTGTTCCACACCACAGACGATGCACCTTTTTTCTTTACAATCTCCTCCTTGTTGGTTTCGTCACATGTAAGCAAACTCACCGCTGCACCGTCTTCTTCCATTGTCGAAGTGAATGTGTATTGCGTGGTTACCCAACGTGCAACGTCACGTGATCTCAATCGCGATTAAGACGATAGACCAAAATCTCTATCGGTTGACAAATTTCTACCGGTTAGTCGAGTCTACCGGTATATCGCCCACCCCTACATCATCACTTGGTATCAGTTATAGGTAACATCGGGTTGTCTTGAGGATGAGTACAAGTACATGAGCACTGTATTGAACTCAAGACTGCTTTCTGTATCGATGTACCCCTAATATTTATGAAAGATTGAAATATAGGAGTCTATCTGCATAATCTCAGGAAGTTCTAGGGAGTCACATTTACATAACAATGACAATAATAATGATGATAATAATAATAATTTCACCATTGCAGTCATTTTTTTCTCCTCTGTCCTCAAACATAACAGGTGTATTTTAATCATATTGTAAGTTTGTTGCACCTAGGCCTAAAGAATATTGAGTAGTGACCTGTGTAGTAAGGATGTGCAGATCGAAACTAAAATATTCTTTTGATCTGAGTGTTTTCATTTTGAGAATCAATTCAATAAAACATTAAAATACTGTTTTTTTTTTTCCTTTGGTAATTTAAATGGTTTTATGCTTGTTTTATTATAGGGAGCAGGACATGAAGAACTACCAGACCTCCCCTCCCCCCAGCAAATGCTAGTGTTAGGGTTGGGCTGGCATTGAAAATCAGGATCAGTACAGGTGACTCCAGTCTTGGATCGGTTTGAAAAGATAATTAGTAGTTTCCCCCATCCCTGCTCTGCATGCTGCATTACTGTCTCAATGGACTAGCTCTGCATGCTACAAGGAAGCCAGTAAATTTGTCGCAGACATTTATGAAGGGTTTGTCTAACATCAATGACATTGTAAATGCTTGTGGTGGTGTTCTTTATCATCTGTTTATGGGTGGATAAAGTACTGTGTTGTATCACCTTCAGAAATGTGGCAAAATCATATCAATGTAATTCTAAATCATTATGTGCAGTAAATTTACTTGTATTTTTATTTTACCCTACTTTTATTATTCGGTCAGGTGGCTTCCCCATTTATAGCACAACCAAATCTCTACAAGTAAGTAATTGTCAGGGTACTGAAAGGAAAAAAGCCAAGCATATGGAAATGTATTGTGGTTTGCTCCTCTATAGCCTTGTTGTAAGATTTACAGTAGCTTAAATGAAAGAGGTTTGCTGGCATAAAACATGCATATGATCATATGATTTCATTGTTCACTGGTTTTTATTATTTATCAATATTTTGGCTCTGTTGGGAAAAATAGGAAATTGTATTTTTTATGGAACATTATTCTTGGCTTTGCTTCAAGCTTATCTTTAGAGATAGTGACATGTAACTTGTTCTGCCTGAAAATTCAGAGTAGATTATATTTGCATGAGAAATCAAGTTACTAATGTACAAACAAACATAAGAAACAAGTGCATTTTCAGTTATTTATATGAACCATAAATCTTATTAATAAAACATAACATTTTGATAACTAAAATAATGCATAGTGTCAGTAATAGCCTTTTTTTTGCTTTTGCTCAACTATTTTGCTTTGATGTCTACTGAAAGCTAAATTATGAATTTACTAGAATTTACTAGGGTAAAATAAAAATACAAGTAAATTTACTGCACATAATGATTTAGGCTGTCATACATGCCTCCCAGTGGTAATTTATTTTCAATTTATCTGTTATGTTTGGAGTCATCTGCATTCACTTGATCATCATATGTAATGTTATATAACAAACAAATGCCTGAATATTTTTACAAAATACAAAGAAAGACTTTTAGAGTTTACATTGATTTCTCTTTGAGAAAATAAATGATGGAATCAATGTTTTATACTTTACATGCATACAATACATGCAAAGGCTTTTGGTTCTATTTTTGCTAGTTAAGAGTCCAGCTGTAGATATTAAACAAAACCTGTGTATTTTTCTTTGTTTGCAAAAAATTGCTTGACTTAACCAGACTTCAAAAGTCAAAATGGGTCTGAAGCGATGCATATTTTGTGGTTCAGATTTTTCTTATGTGCTTCAAGGTTGCCTTTGAAATGCAATGTTTGCCTTTCATTTCTAACATCCAAGTATAAAATGTTTAGTTCAGATATATTGAAAGTAGTGAAAAGTATATAACAAGCATACGTTTGTTCTTTTGGGTTCAGTTACCCTTGAAGTGGCAGTTATCCATCAGGGTCACAGCTTTACAAAGTTGACTAGGACTGCAGGTATGGAACATTATACTCAATGATCTAAATACTTGCTTTTCTTAATGATTATGCCATCCCACTTGGCAGCATTTTAACAAATGGATAAGGCATGTTTTGTTTTTGGAAATGAAGAAAACGACTTATCGACTTACGACTTATCTTGGCAGATAAAGAGGCGTACTTGGTTGTTCTTGGAAAAACTACATATCAAAATGCCATATTGGAACATAGGGAGGATCTGTCTTTCTTGCTTCTTCATTTTTGTCATCATTTAAATTCCAGAAATTGAAATACATCCTTGCATCAAAGACTTGCATTAGCATTTGGGACCGGAACCACCGACATAAGTTTGTTTGAAAATATCTCAATGTTGTTGCTGTCCATTATAATACATTACACTCGGCATACCCTATTCCAAGTTGTATATGGGCAGTGGGTCTTTATACGGCTGGCAGCACTGCCCATTCTCCTGCACCTGTTACACTAAGTGAGACACTTGCTACTGTCTTACTACGTCCTCTTTCTGGCATCTCTCAATCAGTGTATAATTATTTACTGTGGACCTCGGACAAACGTGACATGACTTGATCAGGTATAACTCAACATAAGACTGTATCCTACCCAATGTTGGCCTATATCAATAAAAACGTGTTTTCAAAATAAGAACCTTTCAGTGTTATGGTCTGATTTGCAATGAGCTTTTTCTTCAGATCTATCTCTTATGCTTTTTAATGCTCATTCCTGTTTTTGGCCACAGAATATAACTAATTGACAGTCACATTTGACTTTATTAATAGCTTTCTCATTCATGCCTCATTAAGTTCCTTCTCAGAGCAGCTTGTTGATCAATAATCCTCTTAAAAGCGTCTGGAGTCGGTCCGTATTACAGCGTAATAGTGCTACACCATAGCATTCTTAAGCTTGACAAAATTGTGCAAATATGCTTCTGTTAAGTGGATTAATGGCCTGATGTTGTCAATACAGGGTTGGGATATAAAAAAAATGCATGTTTTTTTTTTTTTTTTGTTTATACACTTTCAGGTTGATAATATTACTAGATTCAATTTGCTATATATAAAATCTTTAAAACATAATACAGAATATCAGGTACCAGATTAGGTTTAGAAAGATTTGACTGTTCTGACAATTTAGAAGCCGCTAGTAAACATCAGTAGGAAAAAATATAAATTGCATGTTAATATATTCAAAGGAAGTAAATGCCCCTCTGTATGTGCAGGTCAATAAATCAATTTTATTTTGATGAGACTTTAATTGGTGACTAAAAATTAAGTTGAGCTTAAGCATTCCCTCCATGCAGACCAATGTTTGTGTGACTGATGTACAAATTAAATGTTAAGAAAATAGTTTGAATTGAATTCTAGGGATTGTCTGTTAAGGATACTGTATCAATGGATCATTACAGATGAGATGTGCTTCTTTGGTTATTGCAGCGGGGACCATTGTAATTGCTACAGTAATCAGTATATTTATGTAAAGTGATGCTCAATTCAGTTGCTGACAATATCTCTACAAAAATGTCCTGTTTTTTTGTCATCTCTATTGTCCTGTAGTTAAAGATACAAAGTGGGAGAAAAAACAGTATGTTCTTATTTTAGTCATAATGGCTTGCTTTTATTCCTAAGTATTTTTTATTTTATTTGTTCATGTTCAGTTTAAATTCCACTGTTCTTGTGAATGCATGTGGAGTCAATCCATGGTATAATGCTGAATGTTTCCAACAAATCACAGGAATTGCATAAACAGAAATTGGGGGGGGAAAGATTTTGTTTTATTCTCTCTGTGTTGCTGGACATTATCATGTTAATAATATAATCGAGGTGGCCATTTTGTTGTGGTTTTATTGTTTGTAACTCATAATACACAGGCTTGCAGTTCTACTTAATGGGGGATTTGTATTTTCATGAAAATATTTTACAACCCCTGCATATAGGGAAGCATAATCTTCAGGTGCTTTCAGGATTACCATAGTTAGACGTCTTAAAGATCGACCAGTCGGTGAACAGTGATCTAGTTGTATGCCCAGTGGGATGTCATGTCTGTCCTTGGTCTGCATAACATGTGATGTTAATATCTACATCACATTATGCACATATAACACAAGGACCGTGATAGTCTGCTTGGCTGAGATGAAGCTTGGGTGGTATCTAATGATTGATGACCTAAACAAAATAATTATAATAATTTATTTAAAATGACCACCAACTATAACTGAATAATTATTTCTAGATTGCTATGTAAAGCCAATTTTGACTGGACACTTGGCCAGTCATAGCCTCTAGGAAACCATTTGTTAGCATTATGTATTTGTCTTTCTGTCTTCTTTCCAGATATCAGTAGAAACTTGCTGCCGTGCCAAATAATAATACATATTATTTATATGGCGCTTTTACAGAATCTCATTTACATGGAAAAAAGAAAACAAAAACAACAAAACATTATGGATAAGGAAGGTTAAACAACCGATTACTGAGGTATCAAAGGAACCACCTTGGTAATTGATTATTTGCAATATTTGCAATCCACACTGCTTCTTCCTATTGGATGTTGAGCACAGAAACCCTTTATGGTTTATGTAAGCGAAACGGATAATTGCTGACTTGGCAGATATTATGAGGATGTGACTTTACTGAGTGGGGGCTTGCACATTGTTGAAGAATGTGGAAGGTTTTGGGTGGGGGAGGGTACACGTACAGGCTGTGGATATATACTATGGACACGGATGGACTTGGGAAAGTTTTTCAAGTAACAAGAGTTTGAGTCCCATAAGAACAAGCAAAAATTTACATCTCATCTGAGTCTGTGGCAAGACCATGTCCAAATCGAATATCACAACTTTGCAAGAATGTATATGATTACAAGAATATCTAATGAATGAATCTATATTTGACAACATATTATCTAAAGGGCATTAGCTTCCCATGAGTGGTTTCTGTTCAGATGAAGCTTTGTATTTGGCATAAATTTTGTTCTACTGCAATTGAAATATTAAGCTTGTGCTGTCATAACTATAGCTGACAGTTTTTTAATGGTAAGATATACCATTAAACCATAAATACGGAACATATTATCACAGGGCAATGTTAGGAAAATACAATGAAAACTTAGTAGCTTAGTAGTTGAAACCCCCAAGCACAGTCCAAAAGACACATTTAATTGGCTCCACAATTCTTGAAACGCTTGAACAGAACAAGTGTAATAAATGTGAGGAAAACATTTCTTGTATGCAATCTATGTTTATTAAACGTTTAGCTTTATAATTTTTATTAACAATGTTATGGCAAACAGGAATGAGGATATTCTATCTGGAAAACAAAAAAATAAGTGAAATGTGGGTGGGTATAGAATTCTCAGGTTAGTGTGCAGTGTTCTGTAAATACTGTGTCTTACCATCTTGATTGCAGGGGATCACTATTAGAAACATCTTGCACTCTCAATTTCTGACTGTTTCAAAACAAGTGTGCCAATGATTCTTGTTCTTTTGCTCTCATTTTGTTTTCTTATGGAGTTACCTTAAAAATAAAATGACCATTTTGAGAAACAAGGCAGCTCTGTACTCTACATTTAAAGTGTTTTGGGAGGCTTTTTTCTTTTTGGGTGGAGTTGTGAATAGGAATGTGTAAGAGAAATATACCGAAAGTGCCGTTTGGCCTTCCCACTAATCCTGCCGAGGAATGTAACATTACAAACATAAATAGTTTTTGTGGTTCTGTCAAATATGTGTGTCTGACAAATGAACTACATGGGTTTATGAAAGCAGTTTTTAATTTGCATATGGTATACATTATTAGATTAGTGCAGCCTTAGGGAGGAAGCCGATTCTTAAATGTTATTACTTTGTTTTGTAAAGGGTTCTTTGAACATGCTGAGATCTTTTGTAAGATTTGGAAATTTGGTTTGAATTTCTTTTACATTTTTTTATTTTCAGTTTTTTTATGTAGTCTAACATTATTTGATCTTTGGTCTTGCGCAAATATAGTATGCGACAACTCTTTTACAACTTTTCAGTATTTTACTGAAGTTAGTCTTCACGTCACCATTATCCTAAGACATGCTTATAGATTTTTAAACTGCGAGTTAGACAGGAAGCAATAAAGTATGAGCTCAAACACAGCTGGTGTTAGTCTGAGTAGTGGCTAGAATCACAGGTCTCTGAGTCTTTTAAATTTTCTTGTTAAAGGAATGTGTGTTGTTAGTGGAAAATAATCTATATTGTAAGGCATTATGCTCTATCCCATTCTTCTAGGCTTAAAATGACTTGCATGCTTTCTTTTCCTATTTCATGCTGCTCTGATGTATTTTCCATCACACCCTGCTGTAAAAATACGTTAGAAGTCATGGGGCTCCAATATGTTACCATGGCAGCTATGTTTTTGTCTAGGTTTATTATAATGAAAAAGTTGTGGCAGTCTGTTGGCATTTTGTTTTCAGATTCAAATCACAATGCTGTTGTTCTCTTCTGTAACCTTGTGTTTGTGCCCGATATTTTATTAGTATTGGTAAACCACAAACCATTAAAAAAAATTAAATACTGTATATTAATGATGCTCATATAATATGTTTCTCTTGCATCATAGATACATCTATGATGCAACAACACATTGTTGCATCATAGATAGAACTGTTACCTTTTTCAAGGAAGTCTGCCCTCAGCTATTTCTGTACTGACCAGCATGGTACTTCTTCTTACCTGATTTTGTTAACTGATGTGTTTTTTTATGGATTAATTCATTTTATATAATTTTATATACTTATTTATTGTGACAGTGCTGCATTGTTTAATATTTTTACATAATTTTACATAATTTTTTTAAAAAGTTGAGAGAACTTTTTCATACTGTACATAAGATGATAAAAAGGACTTTTGTATTACTGTGCCAATGTTTTCGTACGTCTTCCAATTTGCAGCATCTTCCTAATAAAGCAAAGTGCTCCTGGCAACATTTTATTTATATGCTAAAAGAGCAAGTTGCTATACTCTGCCTATTCTTAAAAGAATATTAATCATATTCAAACAAGAAAAAAACTTGATCGATACCTAGAAAGAATAAAAAAGAGAGGTTTGGGGCACTGTCAATGAGCTAAACCATGCCTATATTTCTTTTGTATAACAATTTTTGTTTGTTCAGCTCTCCAAGGGTAGCTTTCTTTTAAGGAGTTATCAGTGATTTATAGACCTATTACCACTGAACAAGGCAACATCGAAGCACTTTATCTTTCATTTGGACTGAATGACCTCGGAAAATGATTTTAAAATTGCACTGTTAAAAGTAACATTTTTAACAGTACTTAAATAATTTCTTGCTTGGCAGATTTGTAACAGAAAGCCTTCATCCTCCATGCATGTTTGGCATATTTAGGCCTACTGCACCAGTATTTTTTGTAAGTGATTGTAAAGCATTAAAGAAAAACTCATTAGAGAAAGGCTTATTCTTCGCAACTTTTGGTATCCGTGTGATAGACATCTCTTTTAAGATTTATGTTATATTTGTGGATGACACGCTGATTCATTGAGTAGCACTGTTTTCTCATATATTCTTCCACTACTCAGCATATGAAGTTTGTACTGTATATACTCCCCAAGTAATGTAGGTGTCCTTGCACGGGTCCCAGACATGCACTTAGGCAAACTGTCATCTCACCATTGCCCATAGTGCATGTGTACCCTGGGTTGGACTGGACTGCTGTTCAGGAAGCTCTATGGTGCCTGGCAGAAGCTTCCTTCTCAGGATTTTCTCATTTAAAAGCAACTTCTAATATGATTGGATTTTATATTTATCTTTACAGTTTCTGTTTATTCTTCCTCCTGCATTAACCTAAATAATGTGTTTTTTTGCCCCCCAATAAATGTCTATTTATTGACTTAAATCATGTTTAAATAGTTTGCCTCACAACCCCCCAATAAAGACTCGGCCCCCCTATCCATTCCCCTGTGACTACTCCTCTGCTTCAGTTTATTTTGCATGGATTTTAAAGTCCAAATGAATGCCCCTCTACTCGTTTGCTCCTTTCGTATGTATTAAGTGTTGGTTTTCTGTGTGTGTGTGTCTGGAGACTTCCCTCCGAGACCTGTGTGGGAAATGAATATGCTTTTGGTTCTGATTATCTGTGTTTTGACAAGTCACTTCCTCCTTCAGGTGGAACTGCGGCAGGTCACAGCGACTCACAGCAGAGCCACAATTCTCGCCAGCATGAACAGAGCTTTTAACAGGAAGAAAGGTCAGCACATCCATCTTAATTTCTAAGCTGAACTTCTCTGTACTATGAGTTTTTCCTTGGTACTATGACTCACCTGAAGTGGAACTAAGGGAAAGGTCAGACTTTCTCTCTTTCTCTCAATTTCTCATTAACCTTCGTCTCACTTTGTCTTCTGTCCAAAATCTATGAATGGGTTGAAATGTGTATGTGTTTATACGTGTATATGCTGATGTCTGCTAGGATAAATTTTAAACCTACTTATTATAGTTTGGTCATATTGTGCATTATGGTGCTGCACAAATGTCAGTTTGACTTGGTTATCCTCCATCTTTTACAGTTTTTCTCGATTTGCTTTGCCACATTTCATGAAATATACGTAACATTCTGAAGACTATAAGAGCATTTCTTAAAACAGTTTATGCATATAGTGCACATATTCAAATTGTTTCTTACAGTTGCCATTTGGCACAATATTCAGTTGCTTTAGTTTTGTTGGTCAAAATACATTATGTAGTTTCCCATTGTAATAATTTTACACCCAAATGTATATATGCATGTCGTCATTGTGTTAGCCATCACCTGAAAAACAGTTAACCAAGCTTTCAGAATGATTAAAAACATATAGTGGAACCCGCTTATAATGATCACGGTTATAGTGATCAACTGCTTATATGGATCATAAAGCTTGGGACAGGATCCTGTACAAATACTGTTTAAATAATTTGCATATAGTAATCAAGTAGTCCGCTTACAGTTTTCATTTTGGGTCTTTTTATATATGACAACATACTGAAAAAATTAAAATTATGCTATTTTTTTTATTTATTTTTTTAAACTTTATTTTGATAAGCTTTCTTTGCCTTGCAGTAACCCATCTGCTTCTGGCTAGCTACCTGAGGCTAATGCTGGGTCCACAGAAAACAGGACGGGAAAAAGAATTTTCTCTCAATGACAAGTACAGACTCCTCGAAGCTTATGATAAACTGCCAAAAACTAGCCACCGAGATGCAACGGCGAAAATACAATAAGCTATAGTTCATGTACAATATTACACTGTATTGAAGCAGCAAGCAGATTGAGGAATCGTGGCAGCGGCAAATGAAAATGATGAGGGGCGGGCTGTTCTTTACCTTACTCCTAAAGGGGACCCTGCAACAAGCAACAATAACACGAAAGGCGTCAAAGACCGGGATAGTGTGATAGACCAGTGTGATAGATTTTCATGGCGTCCAAAATCTCAAGCGGCACCCAATGATTTTGTTGTCATTTTGCTGTTTTTGTGTTATATAGTGCTGTGTGACTTTTTTGTTTGTTATTGTACTGTATCTTGAGATCTGAAGAAGTTACATGTGCATGTGCGTGCTTTCTCTTTACATACTGTAATGTATAGCCTTGCAACGTTGAAACTGATGTTTTTGACAGGAATAAGTATAATTTTGCTAATGAAAAATGATCTGTCCGTGACAATACAGTACATGCATGTCTTGAGAATGAAATGTTCTACATCACATTCATGAAATGTGCCAAAGCAATTGAGAAACACTGTAACTATGAGTCAAAATTTTTTGATATATTGTCAAAATGTCAGTGTAGGTATGCTCATGAGATCCAAAATTGTGAATGATTGTCAGTTCCCACTTTCTCCTTGTCACTGGCTGATCATTTTTCTTTAGCAAACTGATATTCATGTCAAAGACCCCAGTTTCAACATTGCAAGGTTCTACATTACAGTATGCAAAGTTCACTGGCAAGAGAAAGCAATCGTATGCACATGTAACTTCTTCAGATATCAAGATACTGTACGGTACAATAGCAAAAAAAAAAAAAAGTCACACAGCACTGTATAATACCAAAACAGTAATATGACAATACAACAACAACAAAATAACAAAATCATGTACCACTGGATCCAAAAACACAACAGTGCTGTATCACTGCAATTTATTGTATATATTTTTTAATCATTTTGAAAGCTTGGTTAACTGGTTAACTTTGCATGTGGTGGCTAACACAATGATCACTTGCATATAGTTTTTGGTGTAAAATTATTACAATGGGAAACTACATAATGTATTTTCACCAACAGGACTAAAGCAACTGAAAATTGACGGCAAATGACAACTGTAAGAGACCATTTGAATATGTGTACAAAAACATTTGGATATTTTTGAGAAGCAATGAGAAACAATGTTGTGCTGTGTGGAAGTGACATTATGGTGTGGGGATTACACTTGTTGTTTTGCAAATGTTAATTGTCATTTGAGAAATGTTCCATAGCTAGAGAAAAACTGTAATAACAACAATAATCAGGGAAACGAGGGTTTATTCGGGGAGACAGGGCAGACAGCGACGCACATAACCTCAATGACGGACACCCAACTAAGGAAGACGTGGACTAATATACATGAAACAAGCTGAAATAACAGGGAACAGGTGATCACAATCGGAAATTAACGCGAGGTAACAAGGGGGGCGTGGCACGCAGGAGGAGCGAACGAGCAGGTCATGACACAAACAACATATTCTTGATATGGTTGACATTGCTGCATTATCCTTGAGATCATACTTATGATACCATGTACTTTTTATGTATCTTCCATAACTTACAGAAATGAAAATTCCTACTTTGGATATCTAGAAAGTATTTAACTTTGGAACCTTGCAGAATTGCTTTTGCAGTGGCGAAAATCAAACAAATGATTTCAATTTGAAACCCCTATGCTTTTCATAATGCACATGTTAAACCTACAAATGAATTCCCAGGCCTTTTCCTAAACTCCTAAAGACCTTGTATTTAAAAGACTGTCAGTGAGAAGATGATGTCTTGAGCTGATGTTTTATTCATAGCTAGTTCAGGGCTGCCTCTGGTCTATGCGTTCTGGTCCCTGGTTGCATTGGGAGACTTTATCAAATCCAGCAGGCATTACTGTGCATTACATTGAATATTTAACTGTTTATGTGCTATAGAGTCTTTGGTGTTATAGTATTGAGGATGGATGGATGGATGGATGGAGTTTCTAGAGCTTTCATACGTGGTGACAGCCTTATGCAGATTGAAAGCAAAAGTATTTTTATATCTGTTTTTCAAACCAAATTTTTTTTAGTTGTGAAGCTATAAATTAGGGATTATATGGGGAAAAAAAACCTTTTAATTAACCTTTACTTTTTTTTCTGAGCTAACACAAACAACAAAAGCTTACAATCGGAACAGCGTGGGGCACAGTGGGTTCAGACTCTCTCTCTGTGATTGGATGGTCACTGGTTCTGATCCTGTGGTCTGCAGAGTGATTTTCGCTGTTGGGCCCTTCAGCAAAGCCCTTAACTCCAATGGCTTCAGGGACTCGCTGACCCTATTTTCTCAAATGTACCTTGGTTTGGATTGAACCATCTGCTAAATATAAAAATGTATTTTATTTTTCCATTGTGCATTCAAAATACGAATTTCTCAGACTACGTCTGTACCATGTGTCTGTGTAATCCAGCTATGTTTGAAAGTGCAAGGAATAGGATTCATAATGATTTTTTATTTTTTGTGGGATCTTGAATTGCAATAACTGAAAAATAGAATACGAGCAGATTATCCTTGTGGGACCAAAATAGTACACTTATCATGCTACCTTTTGTGTGATTTTCTAGCTGACATTAAATTCCAATTCAATCATCGTAACTGTATTCCAGCAATGGGCAGTAATTTATATAATAGACGACAGGAGTGCTAGATAACCCTCTACTGTCATCCTCCCATTATATAATATCCTGTCATATTTAAATGCCCACATACACTTTTCTAGATTTTTCTAACCTAACTGTTTTACTCAGTTGTTGACCTTCCTAGCTGCAGAAAGTAACACAGTGTTCCTTTCCAGCTTTATGCACGGTGGGCTTACCTCTATTAATCAGGCTTTTGTGCTGACAGAGGGAAAATGCAGCCTGTCTGCCTCTGACTGTACTTCCTGCACCCAGTCCATCAATGGATTGTACTGCTCCATGGAAGAAAGGGGATATATTAGCCCTGAGAGCATCACACTGAGATAGTTTGACTTTAGGTACTTAGCATCTTTTACATCAAGGCCATTAGCGTTCCAAACACCACGTAATTGGTGATATCCTATTCATTTTCTGCATAGAAACATTACTGGAATGGTAATCTAGAAACTTCCAAAAAGTTCTCTTTCCTTAGCTACTTAAAGTTTGCTTGAGGTATAAACCATTAAACATTCATTCCAGTAAGGAAAAACAATGAATCTTTTTGTGACTCATACTTCAAAATAGAAAATAAGAGACAGATGGTTGTATATTTATAATTTTTTAGTGCCTTATTTTTTACTGAATATTCAACCATGCCTGTAGAGTCAGCACAATGTCAATGACATCTCATTAAATGTAGAATCAGACTCATCTTTTCACTGAAAGCCAAAATTATTATTCCTTAGTTTATTAGAGATTTTGCAACTACATCATAATGATTTTTATTTTATATGCTTGATGTTTGTGAGGAAATAGCATAATTTTAATTTAGTATAATTTGAAAAGATTATGGGGTGGTGCAGTGGCTAGCATGCTTGCCTCACACCTCTGAGGACCAGGGTTTGAGTCACTGCCTTAGCTCTATGTGTGTTGAGTCTGCATGTTGTTTAGTGTCATCTTGGAGTTTTCTCTGGTTTTCCTGCCCGGTCCAAAAACATGCCAAAGTAGACTGGAGCTATGAATCAGTCAATAGGTGTAAATAATGTCTGTGTCTTGCGGTGTGCTGGTGATCCATCCTGAGTTATTCCCTGCTTTGCACACATAGTTTCCAGGATAGGCAATGGACTGCATAACCCCATATACTACAGTATTACAACAGGCAGCCTTCAAAAATAATGTACATATTTTTTTCAAATTTCAGATAAGTCATGGATGCACACACCAGAAGCCCTGGTGAAGCATTATATAGCATATAATGCTAAGGTATGTACTGAATGGCCCATCGATGATTTCTAAGTAATGCTTTTACTGTTTGTTGGATCTACAAATTGTTGAAATGAAGCATTTAGACGTTATGCTTCCAGTTTTTCAGAAGCGGTGATTTAGTGTATTCTCTTTGCCCCTTTTTGTTGCAATAGGAGTAGGCTACTGGAATTGCTGATTCAATACTTTAATTGTTGCTGATTTTTTTTTTTTTTTTTTTTTTAAATGCACAAAGTGATTCAGTAGGCAGCATTATGGCTTCTGTATATTCTAATGTTTATATGAATTTTGGTCAGGTACTCTAAGTTCTTCCTAGAAAATAAATTATTTTGTTGAAACTTGGTAAATTTTTATGTGCTGTGAAGGACAGGTATCTCATAATGCGGCTCAGTGTGTTTTAAATTCTTCTACTCGGAAGACTGAATTAATGAGTTAAGGAGAGAGTGGAAAGAAGGCCAAAGGTGACAGTGTCCAGTTATGGGTGACAAGCAGCTGCCCGTTTGTCATGGCTGCACTTCCAACAGCTACATGGTGTTCAAGCAGAGTAGTGTGGAACCTCCCTTTGGGCCCATCACCAGCTCTGTGTGCACTCATGCTGGACGGATCAGCTTGCTCATTTCATTGAAAGCTAGCTGTCATGTTCGTTAATATTTGTTCTTGCTTATATGCTCTTGATGTGGCATAATGTTTATTTATGCCATCTAATAGATAGCAAGGGAAATTTTCACATATTAAAAAAAATGGAAACATATTATTATATTAGTTCTCACTCTTAATTTTTTTGCTTGAATTGAAATAATTCATTACTTTTTCTCTGTAATGTCTAATATTGACTGCCCAAATAGTCCATCAGCTTGAATTTATGTAATCAACCCTGAAGTGAATCAATTCTTTAAAGGAAATTCACCTATATATTGTGATGTAAATAAATTAATCTCGCAATTCAGAAACCCATTTTTACTTTTTCTTTTATCAAAGTTCTCAAGTCTCATGCATTTTCCATGAGACACACTCATCTCAACCAGTTCACACGCTACACCTTGTGTTTCTCAGACTGCAAAGTAAGGGATAACGCCCACTAAGGTGTCCTGTTGTATAGCATTAAGAGCTGATGCCCAGGCATACGGAGTGGAGTTCATAGCCATCCTGAACCAATCAGAAAATAGCATTTGTTGTTTCCAAGTAAATTCCAAAATAAGTCACATGTGATTCCGCTGCAGGCACGTTATTACGTGGATACACACACACACACACACACACACACACACACACACACACACACACACACGGAGATCAGACAGAAGTGGAAGAGCAAGATCTGATGAATGTGGCAGGCAGGGGTCTCAAATGTCAGGCATCGACTGAGACATGTTGTGTCCCCAACACTCCAAACTTTTAATGAAACCTGAGAGCCCTGCTTTTATTATGAATCTCTTCATTGTATACTAGTTCCTTGGAAGCACAGAAGTTGATCAACCTAAAGGCACAGAAGTTGTAAAAGATGCAGTCCGAAAGCTCAAGGTATGTGGTGATGCTTTAAATAATAGTTACATAGGCATGTTTCTCAATCCTGGTCCTTGTGAACCATTCTCTATGCTGATTTTCAGTCCAGGTGAGTTGAATGAATCCCATAGTTTAGTCACATTAAACCGATAGGTATTTCAGAATACGTTTTACATTTTTCAGTTGTGTTAATCTTAATTCTTGTGATTAGTAACTGTAATTATGAAAAATTGCTCATTGTGTCTAAATATTTGCTTTGCCCCTTCAAGTGAATAAAGCAGTGTTCATTATTTAAATTAATCAACAATTGCACATTCATTACCCTTGAGTATTCAACCAAATAACTGATAACTCTAAATAGAATTACAAAGTTTTATTAACAAATAATGATAATTTCATTTGCATATGTTGAGTTTTGATTGGATTAACTTGGAGGAATCCATTGTAGTGACATTTTTTAAAGTGATTTCAGTTGTGTGATGCATTAAATTTGGTTCAGCATAATTAAGAGCTCAGCTGGACCAAAAAGTAGCATAATCAGTTTGTTATCAAGGCCTAGTTTGAAGAACATTGGCTTCAAGTTTGCTTTCACATGCCTATGGTACATATTGTTGATGTATCAATCGCATTCTTTTATTGCAAACTATATGCACTCAGTTTTTTGTAGTGGTTTTCTTCATCCCACGCTACTTATTCAATTGTAACAATCTAATGAATAATTTTTCCCCATGCGTACAGTAGTCCCCCGTATCCACGGTATCAGTAACTGCAATTTCAGTTATCCACAGTTTACCCAAGTCTGAAAAATATGTGGAGCAGTATGTTTTTATTGTTCCTTCATCCTTTAAGGGGTATAAAAAGCATGATTTTCATTGCTCCGCCATGCCTTGATACACTTTATTTTTTCATTGCTCTATTGAATCTTGAGAGTTAGACTTGACTGGCATTAACTCAGGCTTCTTTGGTACAGAGTGGTGATCAGTTGCCATGAAAAGACCGCGGTATGTCTTGGAAAGTATCACCCATCATGGGAGGACTACTGTATATTATAATTAGGGCTATCTGAAAGTAAAATATCCTTCTCATTCCTCACCTTTTACTGACCTTTGATTTGTTGCCGTCTTGAATTATATTTGCACCAGTAAAACGATTTATTGCCTGTCACTGCATAAGCCCTTGACCTGCACAGTGGCACATGGGAGTGGAAAAAAAAGGGGTACAACCCAGATGGGATGTCATCTGCATATACATACTCAGTATATTTACACATGTAGTATATGTAACTTGAATTAAATTTAGAATGAAGAGAATCTTAAACATACCATTTAATTTTTTTGTTGTTTTACCCAGAAGTTTGAATGGTGATCATGGCTTAATTTGTGATACTGTTTCATTTAAAATTTTAGTTTTGCTTTTTTGTAAAAGTTACTTTTATTGTTTTGTCTTAAAATAGGTGTTTTGAATTTAACACTGATGAAATAACACTTAGTAGGTAGACCAGATTTTATCTTGAAAAATTGTGACCAACTGAATAATAGCCTCCAGACAAACACTTAATTAAAACTGAACCTGTGGAGATACCTTCGTCTTAAATTTTCCCATATTGCTCCAACAAATCACTTTCTCTCAATCCACCTAGCTCACATTCTGTAACACTGTAATATATGCCTGTTGGCTCAAAGAAGTTGCCTGACTTCCATTAACTGAGGCTAGACCAGCGGTCATCCAAACTTAGTGTCATGCAATAGTTCCAAATCCAGCGATTTTTACATGCTACTTTAATTGTGCTTATCTATTATGGATTGACGCGTTGATTTTTTAATGCTGTTTGGAGTCAGGCTAATAAATTAACATCACAGGGAGCCGTTAAACCATTCCTGAAATTTAGTGTTTCATACTGATTTATAAAAGGGAAGAGTTCCCATTTCATTAAGGTGTATTAAAACAGTTGAATACTCTTCTCATTAGTCACTGTGCTTCTTGCTTTTCGTTTCCTACATATTTCTGAGTCTCATTTTCCTGTTAACTCTTTCTCTCTGTGTTTTTCCCACATTTCCCACATTCTCCTCGGTTTTACATGCCAGTGGAATTCAAGTGTGGAGTTCAACTCTAAGGTAAGAACTGGGTTGTGTTTAGCATTAAAGCTCTTCCTGTGGTGGGCTGAACTCCACACTTGACTGCTGCAGGCATCTGTCGGTCTATTCGTTAGTTTCATGAGGTAGCCTCTTGGTATGCTTTTCCGTCTGTCCTGAATGAGTTCACACCTCCAGTCATGTGAAAAAGGAAGTACACTCTTTCAATTCTAAGGTTTTACGTATCAGGACATAATAATAAAAAAATCATCTGGTCCTTGGCAGATCTTAAAATTAGGTAAATACAACTCACCACCACCACATAGCATATTACACTGTGTCATTATTATTTATCAAAAACAAACCAAAATGCATTACTGCTTTCATAGGAAATAAGAGGCGTAACCAGGTGCAGCTAATCAAATGCACTTAATTGATCATCAGCAAGTATGACCACCTCTATAAAAGCAGACGTTTTGGCAGTTTGCTGGTCTGGAGCATTCAGGTGTGTGCGTTACCACAATGTGAAGGAAGAAGGATACCAGCAATGATCTTGGAGAAGCAATTACTGTGGCCCATCAGTCTAGGAAGGGTTATAAGGCAATTTGCAAACAATTTGAAGTCCTTCATTCAGCAGTGAGAAAGATTATGCACAAGTGGAAAAAATTGCCAGGAGTGGATGTCCCAGAAAACTCACTCCAAGGTCAGACCGTGCAATGCTCAGAGAAACTGCAACAAACCCAAGAGCTACATCTCAGACTGCAGGCCTCAGTTAGAATGGTAAATGTTAAAATGTGTGACTGTACAGTTAGAGAAAGACTGAGCAAGTACGAAGATAGTCTCTTCTCTCTAAAAAGAACATGGCAGCACAGCATAGGTTTGCAAAGTTGCATCTGAACAAACTACAAGACTTTTGCAGCAATGTGCTTTAGACCGATGAGACCATAGTGGGGATGTTTGGTCATAATGCACAGCTCCACGTTTTGGTGAAAACCAAACGCAATATATCAGCATAAACATTTCATATCAACTGTCAAGCACGGTGGTGGAGGGATGATGATTTTTTTGTTTTGCAGCCACAGGACCATTGTTTTGGGCACCATGCAGTCATTTAGTCAACCATGAACTCCTGTATGCCAAAGTATTGTAGAGTCAAAATTGATGCCATCTGTCCAACAGCTCAAGCTTGGCTGAAATTGGGTCATGCAACAGGACAATGATTCCAAGCACACCAGCAAATCTAAAACAGAGTGGGCCAAAATTCCTCCACAACAATGTGAGAGACTGTTGAAGTAATCATTTTCTGTATGACTTTAAGTTATTGATGATAAAGGTGGTTGTACAAGCTATTGAATCATTCCTTAATTTCCTTCGGGATTAATAAAGTGTCTGTCTGTCTGTCTAACCTATCTATCTGTCTATGTACTGTAATCTATTTACCAATCAGTCAAATAAATACTGACACAGCGGAATATGTTGTGTGTTGTTTTACACCTGAGGTTAGTTTTAAATAATTTTAGAACCTGGCAAGGACCAGATGATTTTTAAAATTATTATTATGTCATGATACATGAAACCATAGGACTGAATGAGGGTGCACTTTCTTTTTGACATGACTGTAGATTGAATGAATGAATGAACAAACAAACAAAAACACATTTTCTCAATATGCTGACATAGCTGCATTATCTTTGAGATCATACTTGTGATACCATGTACCTTTTATGTATCTTCCATAGCAGTTACAAAAGTGCAAATTCCTACTTTGGATATCTAGAAAGTATATAACTTTGGAACCTTGCAGAATTGATCCAGAGCAAACAAATGATTTAAATTTGAAACCCGTATGGTTTTCATAATGCGCATGTTAAAAAACAAACTCCTCCAAAACCATTTCTATTGAATTTGACTGGTAGTATATCTGGCTATCATCATCATCATCATCATCATCATCTTCTAATCATTTTGTTTGTACTTATTGTTGCTTTATTTGTTTAAAATAATTTAAAGTAATGTTTAGATAAAGTTATGGTTTGGCTTGAATGTGGAGTTCTTTGTTACCCAGATAAACTGGCACATTGTTTGTTCTTTACTCCTTGTCATATTTAATGATTTTCACATTTTTATCTTTGCAGTTTCAAAGGCATATCAAGAAATCTGAGGGCCAGAAGATTCCAAAAATTGAATTACAGATTTCAATCTATGGCGTGAAAATTTTAGACCTTAAAACAAAGGTAAGTCTCTAGCTTATTTTAGACATATTTTAATATGGTATACAGTGGGTGTGCAGGGGAGACCTGTGCCACTTCGTCTAGTAAGGGGTTAGTTCCATAACAGAGTAGTTCCCCAAAGTACAAGCAGCAGATTATTATAATTTTGCCTTGAATTGGTGTCCAGCGTGCTGGCTGAGGGGGAAATGGGTATTTTGCAAAGTGACATGCAGTTAATGTGTTGCTTGGGGGGTTATTTTCTATACTGAAAAGCAACCATAGACTTTTCTATGTATACTGCAGTATCATAAAAGCAAATGTAATTTGATTAGGCACCTTTGGAATTCATGTTTCCTTTTGATGGATAATGGTCATTTGAGTAATGCACTAGTACTCCTGTTCTATTGTAGAACAAAATGAAGGAAATTATTTTGTTCCTTTTCTGACATTTTTCTTTTTCATCTTACAGGATGTGCAGTACAATTGCCAGTTGCACAGGATGTCTTTCTGTGCTGATGATAAAACAGACAAAAGGATATTCACATTTATCTGTAAAGATTCGGAGTCTAACAAACACTTGTGTTATGTTTTTGACAGTGAAAAATGTGTAAGTGAAATATCTGCATTTAAAACCACTATGTAATTGTGTGTGTGTGTGTTTTTTTTTTTTTGACGTTTTAATGTGAAGTTTTATGTAACCCTTTTAGGCAGAAGAGATAACTCTCACTATTGGCCAAGCCTTTGACTTGGCATATAAAAAGTTCTTGGAATCTGGGGGGAAAGATGTGGAGACACGAAAGCAAATTGGAAGTTTGCAAAAAAGAGTAAGATTTTTCTAATTCTTCATCAGTGTGAACAATATGCTAGAAACAGTGCATGTTATTTTAGCCCTATGTAAATAGAAAGTAGTATGTGGTCCTTGAAAAATAATGCTCCTTTAATAATCCTAAACAATTACCATTTATTTTAGATACAAGAATTAGAAACTGAAAACTCTGAGTTGAAAAAGCAGCTACAAGGTCTCAAAGAGCAACTAAGGGTAGCTCATGAAACACCAGTGAGTTTGAGATTTTTTTTTTATTCACACATTACTTTCTGTCAGTGTTTAAAGGTGAAAGCAATTCTGCGTCTTTTGAGACCTCTATATTGTGTAATTAAACTGTCTTGCTAAAAAATGCTTTATTGATACGTAATGCTTTCTCCTGCCATCTTTTCACAGCTCCTGCTCTCAAACTCTACTAATGAAGCATATATTCTGCAAAGGCCTTCATCTCTCTTCTGGTGTCATAGTTTGAAGTCGATCTCTTGTTTAGATATCTCCTCTGTCACGCTCACTCCTATGAGTTCGCCTGACTCTTGCCTGTCTGCGGGGCTACTAACTCCTCCTCCTGCTAAAGCTACATTGCCAAAGTCACCGAATGGGCACAGTGTCCCACGGCCTCGTGTAAATCACCCTTGCATTTTCCAGTTTCCAGGCTTGCTTTTTATTTATCTTTTCATGTGCAACCACTCCTCGTTTAGTAGTAGTGTAATGGCTCTGCAACTGAGACTGAAACCGCAATACAAATGTTCACAATGTCATGTCACTGGTTCTGGAAGACGGAACCTCAATATCCACCCCCCTAAATGATTTTGTTTAAAGTTGTATATTTTATACATTTTTCACATTACACCTATTTTATTGTCTTACAATTGTGTGTGTCACGTGACTATTTTAGTCTAATCATGAACAAGTGATCACACTTGTGGTAAAAGTTAGGCTAGTTTTATTAGGTTAAGATAACCTTGAGGTTGCAGAGCACCTGGGCAAATTCAGGTCAGCGGTATTTTATTTTTAAATTTATATTTGTGCATGTAGTTATGTAATATGAAGTAAATTTAACATGTTCTTTAGTGTCCCAAATTGTTAGTAATTAATACTAATTAAAATGTTCCCCCCCCCCAAAAAAAAATAATAAAAAATCACGGTAACTTTGGCATCACTGTAACTGCTTAACGCTTTACTTCAGCCTTCCATACTCAATCTTTTATCCTTCATGAAGTGGATATTTCTAACAACATTGCGTGCGTTGTCAGGCATACAGAATTTTGTATTACCATTGTATTTGTCAATGGTTGCTAATCAAGGTAGCCACTAAATGAGGATTAGTTTTGACTTACCTAGCCACAAAAAACAACATTTTTTTATGGATTATATGCCAAAGAAAATATAAACAGGATAAACTGGGTTGCAACAAACGATGGTGCACATGCTGATGGTGCACATGCTGATGGTGCACATGCTGATGGTGCACATGATGGTGCACATTTCAGGCTAACATAGTTACAGTACCTGCTGTTCAAAGGATTCAGTGTTTCTGATTTTCAGTCCAGTGTCTGCAGTGACCTACAGTATATCATCTTTCCAAGTTTTGAAAAACAGCAACTTTTTGAGTCTTAAGATGTATAGTGTACTGTTTTAGTGGACAACCCCAGTATTTTATGGTGGTGGGTTTCAGAAACACAACAAGTATGCCAAATGTTAAATATATGATATAAGAAAATGCCAGTGTTTTGTTATTACTAAATTGTCATGCCACGCATGTCATTTAAACCTTTGTTATTGCAGGCCGGAAGCATCTCCATGAAAGCCCCTTGTACTGACATGTTTGACATGGTGCCATTTTCTCCCGTGTCTCCGATGGTACTGTCACCAGCAAGAAATAGTCAATCTCCCACATCTTCTTTTTTGAGACCAGCTGAAACAAGTGCGTATTTTTAGGATACTGACGAAGTCAATATACATTCTTTTCTAACCTCCAATATTTAGAAATTCAGTGTATTTGATGACTATTTGTTGATATCGATCAGTAACATTTTAAATGTTTAGTTGGACTGAACCATTTCTGTGTTGTTCAGGGAGAGATCTGTTTGGTGCCGAACCTTTTGACCCCTTTATGTGTGGAGCAGCAGAATTTTCTCCTGACATCCAGTCCAAGTTGGACGAAATGCAGGTGACTGCATGTTTGTGAATAATATGTAGAGATTGTATCCAACTGGATCGAAGAATGGATTTCAAACACTGCTGAGGCAGAAGAAATGTGCTTAAATCATTCACACAGCTGAAAATGAGGAACATTTAATAACTCCAGCCATCAGATTTTGGACACTTAAACAAAACTTATTTGCAGTATTTACTGAACTTGGTAATCTCTGAAGTCGTGTGAAATGAATGTGGACTTTTTAACTGCATGTGCTCTTTTTCTGTATGCTTGTAATTGTTAATGAAGTAATAGATAGATACTTAAACTTTTTTTTTCCAATTTGCTCTTTATTGGCAGCGTCAGAGATGGTTGGTATGCATTTGTTTCCTGTAAAAATGGTACAGTTTGTGCTGTCACTGTCACACATATATGCATGAATATATTTTCTTGCTTATTTCCATCCGCATGACTTTAACATGCATGTGAATCGGGAGTAAGGCAAGCTGCATTTTAACAATTTTTTTCCTTCCTCCTTCATTTCTTTGTGATATCTTATTTGTAAAAACTTGCATGCTTTTCATTTTCAATTAAAAATAATCAAACTTATTTTTTGTCCTTGGTGTCTTTGAATAGGTTATAAAATATTAAATGTCTTATGTTTGGGTGACAAGGCTTGCTTTGGTGCAGGTAGTAAACTTTTTGTAGCAGTTTTGTTTACTTTATACTTGGCTCTTAGTTAAATTTAATATTTGCTGGTATGCATTTTAATAATAATAATAATAATATGGGTTGAAAGCTTAGTATTGTTCGATTCTGACCTTCAGTTCTGAGTATGTAATGTCTGCATGTTCCCTGCATGTTTATGTACCTGTTTAATCCAAGCAATCCAGGCATTATGGTGAAATGGTCTCTTTATACTGTGTTTGTGTTGCTCTGTGATTGACTGTAACATCATTTCTGGAAAATGCTCCAGACTCACTGAAACCTTATATTGGGTAAACAGTTATAGGATATGGATGGAACATAATAGTTTTAGTTTATAATGGATTTTTGGTAAATATGTGTGAGGGGCAGAAAACAGCATAAAGTAGCAGGTCAGCAAGTATGCTCATTTGGAAAGTTCTGGAAAACTAGTGAATTTTCTAACAGATGAAGGTGTTTCATCTGCATCCCTCTGGTGGACACTCTGAGAATTTCCAGGTTTTGTGACAGCATTAGCAAAATTTTCTTCAGTCATATACACCTGAAATCTATCCCTATTCTGAGAAACATCACAGTACTATTGAAACACGTATCAATATCCCTGTTTTATTTATTTATTTATAAATCTAGAAAGGCACACACTTTTATATATCATACTACGTTTTAAAAATGCATTTTGTTAAATGTAAATTATTTTACCTATGATGATTTTGGGAAGCAATGGATTCTATGTAGGCCAGTCTGTTTTGCTTAATAGAATCAATAGACACAAATACATTTAGTTTTGATCTGTCTATATAAATATAAATATTTTCTCACATTTATAGGTAGAGTAAGGTTAGCAAAATATTCCTTTTTATTCTTGACATTTGGCAGGTTATATGAATTTTATTATATTATAATTGCACTCTCATATCAGCCAGGAAAATATTCAAAGAATTTGATAGTAAATATTCTCATTTTTATTAGGTTTTATTTTCATATTTTTTATGATCAAATAACCTTTTTCGTACACTCTTATTTGGTACACCACTGCATTGGGTACACCTGCTTCTTAAACAGCCCCTCTCCCCAAAATGGTGACCCAAGTGTCTGCAACTGAATGTAGACACTGTAGACGGGGCCAAGACGTCCGGTTGCTGTGCCTCTCAGAACAGCTAACACATTAGATACAAGTCATTTTTAATGTATGGTTGTTGGTGCCAGAAGTAGTGGTTCCAAAATAACAAAAACAGTGACTCTCGTGAGAGTTTCACATATGACAGTGTCTAAAGGTCACAGAGAATAATACAAAAGAGAAAGATACAAAAGTTCCAGTCAGTGGCATTTCTGTTGCTGTTATTAAAGAGATCAGCAGAGAATAGCCGGACTCAATAATGCTGACAAGCTACAAGTGCAAAAATAACAGCTCAGTCCAACATCCAAGGGTCTACCCAGTTCTACCCTGTTCCAAATAAACTGGTCACTGAATGTATGTCACCGTATATCAATGCAGTTACTATAATAACAGCAATATATGAAAATTACAAACATTTAAGGATACTTATTATATCATAATTGAGGGCAGGAGTATGGCCCTGTATATACCATAATTCTGAGCTTTTATTTTAATGGTCTTTTTGGATATACTTTACAGGATTGTACTGGTAACTTCTTTTCCCTTTTGTTTTTCAGGAGGGGTTCAAAATGGGACTGACATTAGAAGGAACTGTCTTTTCTTTTGATCCTCTGGACAGCTGTTGCTGATGCCAAGAAACTTTTGTCTTGTACAACTGAAGACATTTGTATTGATAAGGTCCACGAATAGTTTTTTCAGCTAACAAGATGATGAGTCATTCTGAGATATATGTCTTAGCTTTTGGTTTAGACACAAACTGCACATAGAGTAAAGCACTATTTTTATAATAAATAGAGTGAAATCATAATTTAGAAGCCATTGGATTTGTAGAGAATTTTTGTGTCCAACTTATATGTGTGTCAGCCTGACATGTAGCCCTGTATGAATACTCTTGCCTCACGATGTCAGCTTTGAATCTGTACTGTACCTGCTGTGTGCGTGCAATGTTTGCATGCTGTCACCCTGTTGTGTGGGTACCAGTTTCCTCCTGCAGTCCAAAAACATGCAGCTACATGAAATGGCATCTCAGAATTGCCCATGGCATGTTATTGTATGTGCACATAACCATTGGTGTGTTCAACCTGTGAGGGACCGGCATCCCGTCCAGGGTGTACCCCAATCTGTGACCTGTGAGGGACCGGTATCCCATCCAGAGTGTATGCCAACCTGTGACCTGTGAGGGACCGGCATCCCGTCCAGGGTGTACCCCAATCTGTGACCTGTGAGGGACCGGTATCCCATCCAGAGTGTATGCCAACCTGTGACCTGTGAGGGACCGGCATCCCGTCCAGGGTGTACCCCAATCTGTGACCTGTGAGGGACCGGCATCCCATCCAGAGTGTACGCCAACCTGCGACCTGTGAGGGACCGGCATCCTGTCCAGGGTGTACCCCAATCTGCGACCTGTGAGGGACCGGCATCCCATCCAGGGTGTACCCCAATCTGCGACCTGTGAGGGACCGGCATCCCGTCCAGGGTGTACCCCAATCTGTGATCTGTGAGGGACCAGTATCCCATCCAGAATGTACGCCAACCTGCGACCTGTGAGGGACCGGCATCCTGTCCAGGGTGTACCTCAATCTGCGACCTGTGAGGGACCGGCATCCCATCCAGAGTGTACCTCAATCTGCGACCTGTGAGGGACCGGCATCCCATCCAGAGTGTACGCCAATCTGTGATCTGTGAGAGACCGGCATCCCATCCAGAGTGTACGCCAATCTGTGAGCTGTGAGGGACCGGCATCCCATCCAGAGTGTATGCCAATCTGCGACCTGTGAGGGACCGGCATCCCATCCAGAGTGTATGCCAATCTGCGACCTGTGAGGGACCGGCATCCCATCCAGAGTGTATGCCAANGAGTGTATGCCAATCTGCGACCTGTGAGGGACCGGCATCCCATCCAGAGTGTATGCCAACCTGCGACCTGTGAGGGACCGGCATCCTGTCCAGGGTGTACCTCAATCTGCGACCTGTGAGGGACCGGCATCCCGTCCAGAGTGTACGCCAACCTGCGACCTGTGAGGGACCGGCATCCCGTCCAGAGTGTACGCCAACCTGCGACCTGTGAGGGACCGGCATCCCATCCAGGGTGTACCCCAATCTGTGATCTGTGAGGGACCGGCATCCCATCCAGGGTGTACCCCAACCTGCGACCTGTGAGGGACCGGCATCCCGTCCAGAGTGTACCCCAATCTGCGACCTGTGAGGGACCGGCATCCCATCCAGGGTGTACCCCAATCTGTGATCTGTGAGGGACCGGCATCCCATCCAGGGTGTACCCCAATCTGTGACCTGTGAGGGACCGGCATCCCGTCCAGGGTGTACCCCAATCTGTGACGTGTGTGGGACCGGCATCCCATCCAGAGTGTACGCCAATCTGTGACCTGTGAGGGACTGGCATCCTGTCCAAAGTGTACGCCAATCTGTGACCTGTGAGGGACCGGCATCCCATCCAGAGTGTACGCCAATCTGTGATCTGTGAGGGACCGGCATCCTGTCCAAAGTGTATCCCTGCTTTGTGCCCTGTGCTGCCTGGGAAATGATCTGTGACCTTGAGCAGGATATAAGGCTGGGATATGAATGGAAGAGAATAATAATAATAATATT